TCTCTGAGTCATTAATTAGGATAATACAAACGTTTCTTAAAAAATAAAATAAATAAAAGACAACAATTCGAACATATAGTCAATAGTGCACTTTTTATCTGAGCCATTTCTGATAGTACAGTCGTCGAAAACGCAGTGCCGGTCGTTCCTTAACCATTATAACCAACGTAATGGCGTGTTTACGCTACATAAAATCTTCTGGGTTCTGTTTTGGGACACGACGGAACTTGTACTTGCAGGTAAAGTTTCTATCGTTATTACAGTAGTGTGTTGGTCCCCATTAACTGGCGAACACGGTCGTAATTGTTGGCGTGTAGCTCCCATATTCCCATGAAGTGGTACGTTTTAATTGTAAAATCTTGTTGACTCGTTCTACTGAGTGCAGAACGACGAATTGTTCTCACGGGTGGTTGTTTACCCCTTTTACTACACTACCAGACATTACAGGTCAACCGCCGATCAAATATTTACAGCGGGGTTGGATTCTACCCGCGTCGCACTATAACTCCTAATGTTGATCCGTCAGTTTCCTACGGACCCACGCACGGTGTTCGGTCGGCATCCCCTCCCATATCTTATACTTAACATGCACAATAATTTCACCCAAGGCCACCGGTAGTTAATGGTATGTTTATCATAAAAGACGGATAAATCGGTCAGAGTAGTTGGTCCTAGTCGTAAAGTAAGTTCCGCGATGTAGTTCTTATACCAGAGTCTCCGCGGTGACACCCACACATTATACTAGTTTATTTGATCATATGACGTATATCACGTGTTTGTGGCGACGAATGTGTATATACGTGGTTGCTATAGCAGCAATATCAGCCATTCAGTCACACGTTTCTTAAATTTTGGATATCGACATGGGGGGGTGTATAGACGCATGCACTGTATGTGTGTTTGTTTTTTCTAAAGTAAATTGTTAAACTACCGACGTGCCACCCCCCTCTCCGCCACCAGTGATATATCGCGTTACTGTGACTGTGACTGTCAATTAAATAACAGACTATACTGCTTACTTTTGTGTTCATGCACTTGAATTTCGGGACTGAAGTCTTATTTCATTTTCTTTCTACTTGTAAACATTTT